AGCACACCATTTATTGAGATATGGTTTATTATTAACTATTATTAAGTAACTTATAATTAATATAAAAGTTGCCACGATGATACGAGTACTTATAAGTAGAACTTTTTATTGCTTGAAAAGGCGTAGAGTACTTAGTGTGTTTCAGTATACGAGTACCCACCAGCTTAAGAAGTTCAGCTTTTATTTATAAAAAGATAAGTTACTGTTTGTTTCTATGCGTGATGTGTGTTCTAAAGCAAATACCACTGATTTATTACATGCACCACTTAAATACGAACCTGATTTATTAACATAACTGATTTTGTCGCTTTTTGCAAAAGAAAGCAGAGATAGTTTGAACCAACGCTGTTCGGGTCAAATCCTTACGTAGAGTTTAACTATCAATTAGTAAGATCTATTTTCTTAAAAGCCTGTTTAAAGAAATTAAATAACTTAAAACTCGAAATCTGTCTATAGGGAGTCTAGCTAATTTTGGTTTGTTTTCTATGCTGAGTTGCTTACCTTACTTTAAAACCGTAACATAACAATAAACGGTGTTTTTTGTATGGAGTTTGACAGACTTTTGACGTTTGTTAAAGTGGTTAAAGTTATATGGCGCAACTCAGCCTTTATGTTGTCGGCCTTTTGGTTATAACTGTACCTGTTGTAATGTAAGGAGATATTGGTAAATTACGAACTACTTAGTTGAACTTAAAAAAAAACCGTAATAAAATTAGTATATTAATGCCTGTTTTCACCATCGATCCCTAATTTTTAAGTGACCCCTATGAAAACAAAGACCCTCTTTAATTTACTAGAGGCAAATACAGGAAGCCTACGTTTCCCTACTGGCCAAACGGGTTGGGGAGGTCTGATCACTGATGTTCGCATAATTATTTAATTTTGTCCCATATTCGCCTCTTACAACATCCACGAGCATATTTTATTACCTAAGCTTAGATTAGTTTTATTAATCTAAGTACCTAAGTAAATACGTTCTTTTGTAAGTTTAATAAAATAATATTCAATTTCAAAGTTAGCCACATTGTAAATGACGACGACTATTCGGCCTGTTATTCGATTTAATAAATAACTGTTTGGTACTGTTTTTCGATAATGATCTAATCTAGCCGCCTAGATTCGCCACGGTTAGAAAGTTAGCTATGAGGTTGATTAACTGTGGTCATTAGTTATTTTTTAGCTAACTTATCTACTACGCCATGTGCAATGTATGTAATTTATCACGGTTTTAAGAATGAAAATTGAATATTTAACGTTTTTTAACACGGTTCTTACATTCATGGTATAATATTTTAGCTGCTGCTAGAATACTGTGGATTTAGGCTATGTTTTTTAATCGTTCCAAAAATGTATTGAATACCTACTTTACTACTTATTAAATAAATAAATGTAACAATAATTATGTGTATTTAACTAATCTACAAAACGTAATCTTTAAGTGAATTCGATTTAACCAATCATACTCGTACACAATATAAAGCAGCGTCAAAGGACGGATACGGTTTTAATTTTGTTATTGGAGGAGTAATTGTAAATGTTTATTACATATCATAAGAAATTAATGTAGGTTAAAGTATTTTATACAAAAAAAAATAGTTATAGTAAAAAAGATTTGACAGCGGTGGGATTCGAACCCACGCCCTTTCGGACTGGTGCCTAAAACCAGCGCCTTAGACCACTCGGCCACGCTGCCACTGGCAACTTCGTCGAAATAAGTTTACATAATCGCAATACCGTAACAGTGTATGACGTATTGTGTGCGTCATACCATTTTATAGTGGGACTTGTGTTTGAGAAACTGAACCTTGTTGCAGTGAGTTAGGGATGATATTTAAATGTACAGATTTCATATGTAAAATAATAATTTTATTTAGTTTTTTTTCTGCGTTCCTATGTCAATCAAGTGTTTTACGTGATTAAAAATGATTATGGTGATTAATTATTACAACCTACCTACACACTTCAACTTTTTCAATTTACCTACTCAATCACTTGGTTAGTTGAATTTACAATAACAAAGTTTTTTAGGACAGGAAATATTATTTTTATTTATTTACAATAAAAAGTAGGATACCATTAGGACTGCTAAGTATAAAGCTTTTCATAGAATCATTGATTTGATTTTGACCTGAAGAAAATAGAATAACCCTTATCCAGGTTTAGGAAAAATGTTAGTTGGCTTTCAACTGCGTTAAATTATTGTTAATTTAAAATACATAGATGTAAGCAGCAAGTTATGTAGTAAAAGTCACCCTTTTACCGTAAAGATGTTGTAAAAGGCGACTAAGAGTAGGCGCACATCGGTGATTTTTCGTCGGCTGATAGTTTAGTCGGGCAGTTGATCAGTATGGGCATGTATGGGAGTGCGCACACTACGCCGATTCGATTTGGCCGATTCTTCATACAATTTAAAATCAGGCACAACTATCGGCCAACTAAAAATCAACGGTGTGCGCCTACTCTTAAGCGACTAAGGGACAGATAAAAATAATATCATACAACCTGTCTGGATATCGTAGGGGGTGTAGGCCAAAAGCTCCAACTGATTCTTCCTTAAGACCTCTTTGTGCCATTTCAGTTTTGTATTTATTCTGACACTTTTGTATGGTATGTAATAAAGATAATTATTTATTTTCATTAAACTCCGTTCAGTAGTTTTTGTGGACAGGGCAAAAAACACGCATCCATACATCCACACACACTTGCATTTATAAGTATAATATTAGTAGGATATTTCTCCTTGACCTTCATAATATAGGGTGTGCTCTTGAAGAAGAGCCTAAACGACCCGATGATGATTATGATGAGATTTTGAAGAGATTTTCAAAGGAAAAAAGTAAATAAAACTCAACAATTTGTTCGTAATGACCTGTATATTTATCTAAGTGTTAAGGAGCATTATTTACAAGGTGGACACTCATTATGTATAATGCTTACACCTAATCTTAACAACGAACATTAGTACAAAACGTCGCATTCGTTTGTTCGAACGATATAAACGTGTCGCGAGAAACCATGTTGATATTTCAAATTGATTTGAAATGCATTATTTGTGACTTGTTTGTTTATTAGCTACGAAAATACTCGAATGAAATTGGAAATGTACATCTAACAGTGTTTAGTTAATTATTAATCTTTGCTGTTGATTTAGTGCAACTTTTAAAACACTGTCCATCACTGATTTTAGTGTGATTTACTGATTTAGCTTTTTTGGATATTTGAAAAAAAAAAACCTAATTGTATAGCAAAGTTCGACGTAAATAGTAGGTTATAATTAATATTTTTTGTTTTTTATCGGTTCCAAATAATTAGGTATTGAGCACCAGAACCTGTTATTATTTCTTGAATGAATCTTAGAGAATCTTTTCGTCGCTAATAAACAAATCACCCATAAGTTTGTCTTAAGTTCGTATTACAGAACGAAACTTAAATCACGATTCAATTTCAAGCAAAGTTTCTGGTTATTGAGTGGACTTTGTTTTTTAACCATTCAAAGGACAGAATCTATAACCAAGATTGAATCGAATTTTAAACAGTGTTTTGTAATACGGGCCTAAGCTTAGAACATTTCTATTTCTGACCAAATATACAGTTACTAAAGCATCGGGGTATTTACTTAATGCTATTGTAAGAACCACTGTTCATTTTCAATATGTATAATATTGTATATTTGATATTTACACTAAATGTAAACAATTCTATGTATTTTCATCCAACAAGCTGTCATTTTAAAAGCACAACATATTTTAGATTTACAAAGTATGATCAAATAACGAATTCATTGTAAATATCAACAAAAATTGAAATTTCAATGTCTTTTGCTTATATTATCGGTTATTTTGTCATGGATTATACAAGCAATAAATGACTTACATATTAAATAAATATGTTTAACTTCGGTAGGTAAATTACAATAGAAATAAAAATAATATGTGTGCACGTATAACTTAATGCATCCCTATTTATATCTTATAGAAAGTTATTTTGAAAACACAAAAGTATAAAATATAAATAATAGTAAAAACAGAAAATTGATGTGGTTCCAAATGAAGCTATTTTAACAATTTGCCATGTCCTTAAATGCTTGTACGGTGTACTTTATAAAGTACATATTTTTTGACATATAGCTTCGTTTAAAATCCATTGAATTCAAGTCTTTTTAACAAAATCTCAAGTCACAAGATTTTTTATTTTATTTATATTAAAGGTACCACTACAACACTCAGATATTTAAATACATTTATATCACACAACCTCTCGTAGGAGTGAAAAATGCAGGATATTTCGAGTGTGTACTAGAATTAGACCATGGATAGGCACAGCATAATGAAAAGACCTATCAGAGACTTAATTTTGAGACTTGAACGATAAAAAAATCTTGTTAAACAGACTTGGCTTAAGTAATATAGGGAAAACAAACAAACAACTGCTGACTACACATATTTGGTTACAAGACTTTACTGTATAAACTATCAGATTAAAGTCTAAGAGATTTACAATTAAAATGTACAATCTTACCCTAATGAGCTGTCGCTCGCTACAACTTACAATTTTATATGGATCCGATAGGAATGTATATGGGACTCTAGGAATTTCTTTGGAAAAACTGCATTATAAATAAATCATTTTATAAGAATACAGACAATATTATCTTAATTAAAATAATAAAAAGATGTTGGCAACATTAAAAATAGGACGTATTTTTGTTCTTGCGAATTCTATTTGTTTGATAAAATAATAGGCCAATGCTCCTCCATCCTTTTATTTGGTATTCGAAAAAAATTGTGATCCAATCATTACTATAGGTACCTACAAAATAAGTTCACAAAATAAAAAAAAACTGAGTATAATTAGGCAGTTCGATTTTTTCAAGTTATTTATAATTTTCAAATGAGTATAATTAATTTTTAACTTTAGGCAGAAAGTTGACAGGCTAATAAATTATTTATAATACCTACACGTATTCATGAATATCCATTGAGTGAATCTAGTTCATGCACGTTAGCAAAATATGAAAAGTAAAAATAATGCATAATGCAGTTTTCACGCAGAAAATCCAAGTCAAGTATATTTTCCGAAGTACAGTGAAATGTTCGACTTCTTTACATACATCAATTATAGATACAATAAAGTACATTAATATGTCGTAATAATAATACAGGGTGTCCATTAAAACGGAGTGCATGTTTTGAAAATGCATAACCAGATACTAATTATCCAAAGAAAAGCAACTATTACTATACGAGCAACACTCAAATCGCGAAAACTGTCAATTACGATCCATACAAATTTCATGCGAGCAAATTTATTGGTACGAGATTATTCTCGTATATTTATATATTAATCTTTTAGGCGATATTTCTCTAAAACTAAAGTTTTTATATTTCTCCATGTATTTGCACACCCTGTATAATTCACGACAATATACGAGACTTATTGTGCGAGTTAAATATTATTAATTTATACATGATCATCTTTGAAATATAAGTGAAAATAATTTGTTCTCAAGTATAATTTTATTCGTTACGAATTTAATGCAAAAATACGGATATGTAATCAATTCTAAATTGAAAATAAAAATAAAAATTCGAAATATATTATTCGTACGTCAATCAAAAGATGTAAATGAGATTTCAAAATATTTGACGTGTTGTTACGAAAAACAGATTTATCAAGACTTGTCAAATATTACTGAAATAATTGACGCCACATTAATAAATTAACGGAATAATGTACAGTCGGGCAACAAATCATTTCACAGTCTGATAACTGCAATGAATTTTGAGAGGTCAAGATCATTTTATAGCAAGCCGACTTGCTGGCAACTGTACAACTTACGTACTGCTGAGAAAAAATAATGGAAGCTTACTTAATATTAAAAAACAAACGATTAACAGAGATGATGGCACAAAAAGTGTTGTCAGAGAAATGAGAGACAAGAGAGAATAAAACAATGATTCGTTGCACAACCTAGATAAAGAAAATAACTATAATGAAATAGCTAATGCTAGATAAACCCAAGAAAACTAATATCGATGATAAAATAACACAGTTAAATTTTCTAAACGATACAATTACTCGTATGTCAATTCCTTAATCAATTCATAGCCAAAACGACAATATTGCATTGCCAGAAAGAGACAGCAAAGTCAACAAGTTCGAAATTTCGCATTCCCAACCAGAAATTGACGACACCTAAAGGAACATAAAAAAGATACACGATTTAAAGATACAAATGATATCATACTAACACCTAAAGACACAATAATTATAAGCAATGAATTTTCGTTGACATTTTTGAAGACAATTAATAGTCCGTAATGTTTTGTATAAATTCTACATCAAAATCTTTAGAGACGATCTAAATATGTATAAATATTTTAATATAATTTCATTATATTACATAGTCAAACAATAGATATGGACGTGTCCATAGACCATTTGAGATTATTTTAGTTACAGTCTAGGCGAAGAGAAATAATCAGCAATATACAGTCAAAAGCAGATGGCACATTCATTTTTACAAAGAAATACGACTCATGCAGCATCGACGTGAGGACAACCAATGAAACAGCACTCAACCACATTGGTCTCGAAACATGAAGGAGTCAGCACACTTCGACATCATTATCATGTTACCACAATCATCAGCACACCACATTACCTATTAAATTGGTCTGCAAAGTGATAAGTATAATTTAATATTTTAAGTGTTCTTCAGCGATTCCATACAATCTCTTCGGTTAGACACGGTTTTTGTACCAGGTTTGTACATATTGCAGTACAATCCGTACAGGCATATGTCAATAATTCAAAAGTAATAAATTATTTGTCGGTAATATTGAAGTTACAGAACAATTTAGCCACGTCAGTAAAAGAATTTATAATCTGTGCGGACGTTACGTGAATCGGAACGTTGTCGAAATTTAAAAAAATATAACGGTTAGCTGGTCGCACGCGGAGTGGGGATCCCACAGTGCGGACTAGCGAGCCGCTCAGTAAACACGTGGCATGGCTTGTTCTGTATCGTCTCACGCGTAGAACTCTCTATTGTTGTGACCCTTCCCGTAAGAGGCGGCGGCGGGGCTCCTCTTCGGCTCGTCGAGCGCGTACGAGCCCTCGTCCTTCTTACGCATACGATACACTATGAACATCACTACTAGTATTGCGCATAGCAGCCCGACTACTGCGCCGCCGATGACAGCTGAAATCATAGAAAAGAAGGATTTTAATACAGTGAAAATATGTATGAAGAAATTAAATAAAAAAATATATTTTATCAGACACTCATTCTAGTACATTGAAAAATAAAAATTTGGAAGATGACAATTGTTGTTCTGAGTGTGCGATCTGGAGCCTAAACTAGGGCCACCCTGTTATCAGGTATCTACGAGTATGTCTTACATTTGTTGTGACTACAGACCGATACGAGCCTTCCACGATCATAAATAAATACGCAGATCGGTGTTTACCCTCTTCATTATTTCACAGAAAGTACCTTTTATCTCAAGTCACACTTTTATAATTTTATCGTGGAGCCCAAAAAAGAAAATAATGCACATCCATTTTTGGCAGAGTAGAGTGCATCCTGGACACTCAGTAAAACTAAAAAATATAAAGTAAGGCCTATTTATATCAAAGCAAAACATTGGCGACAACATACCGGCTAGAATGCCTGGTTGCGCGAAGAAGCTGGTGGCGCGGTCCTCGGGCTTCGCGTTCATGATGAAGACCACGTTGTCTGCCGGCCGCGACTCTGCGTTCACGTTCGAACCTGCTGGCTCGTGGTCCTGGAATCATATACAGCAGGCATTAAATATTATGAACCTATAAATGGGCCTTAAGAGCCCCCAAACCGCATCAGACATAACCACAAAGTGCTTATGGGCTTCTAAATCTGACCAAACAGAACCACCAAGTGACAATTTTCAGTTTGAACGAAACTATTTCAGAATCATGGGCATCCAAATTCAGAGCAGTTGTTGACTCTTTATTCACTTTTAACAAAATAACAAAATGTATTAGAAACACAACGTCAACAAAACAAACTAACAAGGAGATAAAAATAAAAGATGATGGTAAAATTCTTAACAGTAATTTATAAAACAAAACAAATTCAATTGTGTTAAAAGTAACTCTTTGTGTAACTGAATGAAAATGAAATCGTTAATTACCACGTTGCTGAATATTTGTTGCGTTTTACTCGAAAGTTAGTAAGCAACTGAGTAGGTAATTACTCAACTTAATACTACATGATTAACAATGTATGTGGGAGTTCATTTTTAATTACTATCAAGCATTTGTTTCCTGTTTGTGCTCTGTACTTCCATTCAGAGGATAATACGCATTACTTTTCTGGAATTCAAGTTCACTTAATGCGTTTATTATAATATTATCTGTTCAAAATTTTGATGATATAAATTCATATCAATTCTCAACTTATTCTTGAGTTCAGAATGAGACTCAAGTGTAAATATTGAAATTCGACCAATCACAGACTTCAATTTTTACTCGAGTTTGATTCATGAGCCATAACAGTTAAGCTGTGTGGCTCCGGTAGAGTAGAATGGGAATAATAGGGATAACCCTGTTCTCCCATGGATGTCGTAAGATGCAACCACTGGTAAGAGAGAAACGTATATGATTTCAGAATATGTGCAGGTATACTTACAGTATCTGGGTTCAAATCTTCACCAGAGATGCTTATGTCAGTCTCAGGGCGCGAGGGCAAGTCCTCCCTCGCGCCTCCGCCGGCTGCGTCGGGTACCCCTTCGCTCGGTTTCAAAATACGAGCTGGAACATTTAAAATTGTTTATAAGCAATATTTTCTTTAAATACACATGGGCGATTAGGTTGGAACAGCCGTAAACGTGATAGTTAAGTCTAATAGTAATATTGTTGAAACTTCTCAACTTTAAGTCAAGGGAAATGTTATGGCTTTATTCAAAAACATGCTGTTAGTAGCAAGATCTGATTGGATTGGATCAATGAATGATTTTAGTATATTTCTGAGGTTAGTTATTATTAGACCAAAGGTATAAGAGAGATTCAGAGAAGTTATTAGAGTTTGAAATATTTTATGCCTTTGGAAAAGTGTTAAAGAACCAAGAAGAGAGTTTTAGTTGGACGATGACGAAGACTAGGGCTCTATTTTGGAACTGGATCGGAAGGAATCGGAGATAAAAGAAAAAGATGAAGAACAACAAAACTCTATAAAGACAATGAGAAATACCAATGATAAGTATGAGGATAATTATGAGAAATATTAAGTATGAGATGAAGAAACTAGTTCTAGAGCTAATACCAATAGACATGCTAAATATGGGTTTACTGAAATCACAATGGAAGAAGTACAATCGCAAATGTCGGTTTGAACGATTACGAACGATTACATGCAAATTAACAAAATTACTTTAAAATGGTAAACAGATGAGTCTTTAGCCAAACATTACGAATACTTACCAAATTCCCTTGATAGCGTTTAGTAAAATTCAGAAGTTTCTAATTTAGAGAATTTTCTTGACTATTTTGCACACAGGTTATTTACAATCAACCATTGTCCTACTTGTTTCAGTGGGAACTGGCGAATGTGTTTAAACTGACAATATTAATGCTGTTAATACAGCGATAATGAGAAAAATGTTAATTCAAGGCTGTAAAACAATACTGTGTCATCCCATTGTTATCAGCACGCTGGCGACTGAGATTAGGTAGCTAGAAGCTACATTATTATTATGACACTGTGTTAGTAATATTCCCTACCTTAAAACGGGTATTAATGGCACACTTATGGATAATTCCAAATTGAAAATAATGTAATACTAAATCATACAGAGTAGCGAGAATTCAATACAAATGGAATTCAATTTCAATGAGTAACATCCAAATACGACGATGCAATGTTACATAAAACTATGTAGGCATTAGTAGAATCTACCTACCAATGGTCGAAAACTCTATTAATTTTAGAATCTTTCGTCACGTCGGACAACAGCACATCAATTAGTTAGGTAAATATGTAACATCTCATGTTATTGAAAAATATGCTATTTTGCAACCAGACTGCAGACTATATTTTGTCTGACGTGCTGTCAAATTAGTGTTGTTTCAAATTCTCACTACTGAACATAAAATAAGAATACTGCAAAATAAACTGGCATGCTTCAGCCTCTACTCACGAATAACTATATCGAAGTTTGTTGGGAGTGGCGAAAGGTCGGTATCCGGGTTATCGGTGATGAACGGACTCTCTGGTTGTATGAACGTTTGGTCCGGATTGAACGCGTCCGGGCCGGACGGTTCGAGAGAGTTGATACTGAATGGGTCGACCGGCACGGGGGCGGCGGTGGTGGGGGCGGCGGTTGTGGTCGGTGGCACATAGTCCTCGTCATCGGAGTCCCCGTCAGGCGAGTCACCTGAGCCTCCCCGGCCGTCCTCGTCGTCGGGGCCCGGGCCTGCGCCCCAGCCGGACCCGGAGCTCTCGTCGGGCGCTAGTCCCGACCCATCATCGTCGATGTACACATTGTCCCGCCCTGGCGACGGCCCGTCGTTTTGGAGGTGCGCTGCTTCTTCTGTCGACGAAGAAAACGCGCCGTCCTGGAAAAGCCAAAAGGTATAATTTAATAACTAAGTCCTTACAAGGCCGCGTAGCGTATGGGTAAACTACAGCATGATTTAGTAACGGGACACAGAAAGGATCTTGGTAGAAGGTACACTAACAGATATGGCAAGAAAATCCACTGACACCAATACAGAACTGGCACGGAAAATTCATTATCACTCAATATATAATCACAAATCACTCCTGAAAACTTCAATCCCTGCAAAACGTCACAGAAACATTTGACCTATTTCTGGAAAATTCGCATGATCGTGAATGGACAGCACCCAAATAATGTGACAGCTGACTGTATCCAGCAAGATTATCTTGTGGGATGGGATAAATATGATTTGCGGAGATGAAAACAATCTACTTTGTCTTACAACAAACAAAAGGGGCGATATCCAGACGCAAATACATGAAAAGACTATAAATCACGAATTGCGTTTTTATCTACGTCACCATGAATGGCCAGCTTGAATGGGAAGTCGGGGGGTCACTCACCTTGGTGGCTGAGGTATCGTTAAATCACGTCTTGATGGAATTAGGCCTGATAACGTTTGAATTATTTATAATTTGATATTTGAGGGTGTGCGGCAGTGGAAACGTCGGCAGCGTAAGTTGTGGTGTCGGTGCGGCGATCGATAGGTTTCGGGAGGGGTGGAGTGGTGGGGGCGGGACGCGGGTTCCCGGAGGCTCCGACAGATGGAGGGCAGGCAAGGTTCGGGCTTGGGAGGGTTGTGCGATTTTCAGCTGTTCGCAGTGATTCAGATTTGCACCGGCAGATGTCGCTTTTCGGTTTGTTTACTATCTATATCTACTGTATATGTATGTATTTTATCTTCCATACTACGAAATTAGATCTGTTTGCTACAGAGCAAGACTCTGGCAAGCAATTTTTAAAAAAACAGTAAGTATGCATAAGAAATTAAAATCCCATCAAAAACAATACTTGTCAAAAAAACCAAGTCTCGCAACTCAGTTGTTCTACGGTAAAAAGTTGTGAGATCCATGTAATACCAAGTCCAGGCCAGGAAGTCTTTAACGTTTTACATAAATATATTGACTTGGCCATCGCACTAAATAATTTAATTTACACGTGTTTTCATGCGATGGCCAAGTCAATATTTTATGTAAAACGTTAAAGATTTCCTGGCCTGGACTTGGTATTACATGGATCTCACAACTTTTTACCGTAGAACAACTGAGTTGCGAGACTTGGTTTTTTTGACAAGTATTGTTTTTGATGGGATCTCATTTCTTTTTGTATTTTGTAGACAGCAGTTATGTATCTAGAAAACTGGACCGAAAATGAAAAATTTTACTCGACTTGGCGGTTGCACTACCGTGCCCCCAAATATTTTAGTTTTTCCTTGATTCATACACCAAACACTACTTATATTCCAAATTTGAAGCTTCTAGGTCTGCTAGAAGTGCCTTAGAGTTTTGATGATCGGTGAGTCAGTCAGTGAGTCAGTCAGTGAGTCAGTGAGTGACAAAATTAAGTAACTTTGACCCGTTATAATTCTTAAACTACTGGTTCAAATTGAATGAAATTTTAAATATACCGTGTCTTTACAATTCCTGCATAGCTAATGAAAATTCAGCCTTCTAGTTTTATCCACAACGAAGTTACAGGCGGTCGAAAATGGCCTGAATTGCTTCGAGAACAGGATGGTACGGCCGTGCCGCTTTTTTGCTCGACTTGGTGGGGGCACTGCCGTGCCCCCAGATAATAAGTAGGTACCTAGATGTTTTCTGATTTTATCTATGACTTTCAAGGACACAAAAAAGCCTTAAGCCCTTATTGAAGTGCCTTAATCAGAAATGTACGAGCGTGAAACAGTAGAGTTATTAACCTAATAACACTGCAATAAGAGCCACTTTAAAAGCAAGTGTGTTGAAAAACAATATAATGTTGCAGCCCGGTGACCGTAAACGCTGTTTAAGCCGGATTTTCTGCATTTTTCAGTTCATCCGTGTATTTCACTCGAATTTCGGGTGTTCAGCCATTCCGGTAATCCGGCGAGCGTATCTGGCTGGGACGCGGCAGACCGGCAGCCGCTTGAGTCTGGATCGACTCGATTCTTTTTATTCGATTATTGCAAAGATTTGAGCGTTGGGACGCAACATGCATACGAGTACTCGTACTTATTAATTTTATTTTCTCTTCAGTAAGATGCGTCCTTTTATAAATATTTACTTAGGCTGAGTTGCACCAACTTACCTTTAACTTTAATGAACGTCAAAAATCATACAAAAAGCATAGGTTATTGTTACGTTAAAGTTAGTTGGTGCAATTCAGCTTCAATTTTTTCTATTTAAAAGCCAAAAATGTTAGTTACGATACGAAGTATCTCAATTTCAAATGAGCGATTAGTTTCGTTTTATTCGATATCTCTAATCGTTATCTGTTTAGTTTTTATTTGAGTATAATTATCATAATTATACGTTAATTTATACAATCAGGCCTTATCTAAATCTTTTAAACCTATCCAATAAAGAAATGGAAATGATCATGTTCTTAATGGACACATTTTCTAGTTTTAGATTGAACAAATAAATAATGTTCAATTTGAATGATTGAATCATTAATAAGAAAGTCCGAGATAATCGCGTCAGTCGATTTAAATCTAATCGAGTGGCGACTTTTCTCGATTTTCAAAATAGAAGCGTGTCCCATCACTAGGGGGGCGTAATGAGAAATATTATTTATTGTTCCGGTATAATGCGCCTCTACTGACCCGCTGTATTTTCGCGTATTTTGGCGTATTTTCGTCTTTATTACGGTTTACGCGCGTTAATGTTGTCCCGAGTTGGTTTATTTTCGTTAAGCACCGTTTAAATAGTTGTTTCATGTTGTGCCCGTGTACGAATAACGTGTCTTTCATTTTACACGAGCAAACGGGTTTATCGTGAAAATATGTAGGTATATCATAAAACAAGAAAATATTATATGAAATAATGTAATTAAAGTGATAATATACATGATCTACAAGATTTATTTTGGAAAACTATTTATTTTAATAAATATTATGTGTATGTGTGTATATAAAATTATTATTGTATTTAGTCTAAACATTTCTTTTTTTTTTCTCAAATAGTTTTTTTTTCATAAAGTCATTTCAATTATAAAGGTTTTTTCTCTATTTAAAGTTGTAAAGTAGGTGTAACTATGTCAAAACTTAAGTTTACTGATATGGCGTTTTTCTTGTACAGGATATTTTAAAGGAATTTAAATGATAAATTATCATAATTAACTTATTCTGCATGAAACATAGTATTTTACGAAATAATACCCTAAAGGGTAAATTAAAATTTGCATACAAGCTAATGTAACGTTAATTATCATATTATTACATTTTCGTTGGATGTTTGCTATAAAAACAAAGCGTTTCCTGTTCCCATCCTTCTCTAACATACAGGATATTTCAGTGTGTTTTGTATATCTTTCTCTGTCTAGCACACGGACTCTCTTAATCCGTTATAAAGAGGAACGTTGGATGTAAATGCTAATGAGCTAAATATAGGTAGAGATTAACTAGACAGGCTTCCCGACCGCGGGTGTGCTCGGTTTAAATTAATTAAATTTATTTCTCTACATACCTATTTTTGTTGCAATATCGCCCTTAAAATACAGTCAGGTAAGTCTAACCGACGACCGACTGGACCGACGACATCGTAAAGGTGGCAGGGAAGCGCTGGATGCAGGCCGCTACCAATCGATCAACATGGAAAGCATTAGGGGAGGCCTATGTTCAGCAGTGGACGTCCTATGGCTGACATGATGATGATGATGATGAAGCCTAACCGCAGACCACAGACTTTTTGTCAATAATTAATCAATTTATGGACATGTATGAAAGTGCGCACATTAATATCGGCCGATTCTTCATACAAATCAGAATCGAGCCCAATTATCGGCCGGTAGTCTGTGGGGAATCTGAGATGCCTCAGTGTTAAAACTTGATGTGCCCTCGGCTCTACATATAAATAA